CAGGTCTCAGCCTGCGCCTACCCAATATCTTGTACTTCTTAGATCTTTCCTGCTCAGCCATGATTTCCACAGATGGATTCTCTTCTGTTACTGTCTTGGAAATGTCTTCCCAGGCAGCCTCAAACATCCATCCTTCACAATGATGTTTATCATCTGCAGCTTCATGGCTGGCTATAATGCAGTTCTTTGGAAGAGAACCAGGTTCTCTTCTGAGATAGCTCATATGTTGTCATATTCTTGCTGATTTTTCTTCCGTATCTTGTTGGACTGTTTCTCTTGGTTGGTGCCTGCAGAATTTGGTTGCTTGTTTTTAGCCAATCTTATACAGATGGCCTTCTTTTTTATGTACTTATTTCCATACCAAGGCTTGTCTTCTTAGCCATTTTCCATTATCATGGAACTTGTATGCCTTCTTGTATGTATCCTTCTTGTTTATTTTGATGAGTCTGAATACCTGTTTCCAGATTACACTCATGACATTTGCCATTTGGCTATATCTTTGGCCTGCTGGTCTCAGTACCTTTTAGAAGACATCTGGCAGGCCAACATGTGAACAAAATCAAATAGTTTTGTGTTATTTTAACATCGTTGTATAGCTCTCATTTCAGTTTGGTATTCTATTTGCTACCTGCAATTATTCTCCATGCTTGATGGAATCTGTAATTGGTGAGTTTTTGTAATTGTGTCTCTTCCACCCAGTATCTGTTATTATTATCAAAGTGTATGAGTTTATGCATGTTTCATTTCTTGCTCACATTAACCCTCTGTTAGTGACGTTGGAACATTGGACTAACACTGTTTCTGGAAAGTTATACAAAGTAATATTTACTGTAACTCTGTATATCTTCACAAAATTTGCCAAGCTTTCAGTAAGCATTATAGGTCTGTTGTATATGAAAAAAGCAATTTTTTTTTTGAGTAAAGTATTTCTACTAAAGACTTGCATCTGTTAATTTATGACACCTTTATTGAGTCAGTCTGAGTGATTTTCATGCTAAGAATAAAAATACTTCTTTTCCTGTTAAAGTTTTCATATTTCCTTTGCAAAGCTTCTAGAAACTCCTAACTGAATATCAAAAGTTTTTTGGGTAAAACTTTATATCTTATCTTTTTTATTTTCTTTAACCTAACCCTAACTGTAGTAACGTGTTCAATCTACAGAGGAGAAAAAAAAGGAAATCAGTATGTGTATATATATATATATACTTCTAGAATAACAGCACATTGTAACAGACAAGTGCAATTATTTGTTGAAATAGCTTCAGCTTTCTAACTTCTTCACACATCTGCTTGTATTTAATTTTATTACATCACAATGCCCTTTAGACCCTATGTAAGTAGGTAACAGGCAGTTAACTACAGCAAAATAAATTGGTGTAAACAGTTGATCATGTTACAATCACATGACTCAGCTCAGCTGGTCTTGTGAAATGCTTTATTTATTTTTTTCCATTTATCATTTGTTATCTAGCCTAATAATTTTCTCATTTTTTCCACATTTTCGTTACTTTACTTGAAAAAAAACATATAACAATAAATAGAAAGTGTAAAAAAATAAGAGATTTTGGACTTCAGTTAAAGTTAAAGCCTATTTCAGTAATTTGTGCTCTAGAGTGTACTTTCTTATCACTTAGTTTTTTTTTTTTTTTACACTATGTTAATTTTGCCCAAAATCTTTAATTTTCCTTTTTAACCCCTATCATGTATTTCACACGATCTTGTAACCACCATGGTGGTACATATACTATGGAATTGGACAAGCTTTTAGTAAACATTAAAAGTCTTTTGTAAAAATCACAATTTTTAATTAGGTATTTTTAACTGAAGTTTTGCCCATAATTATATGGTGTCAGAGTGTTGACTGTTCCAAGTGCAAAGTGATTTTCATGTTAAGATTTAAAAATACTTTTTTTAATCTGAAAATTTTAATTTGTATAACCCATAAAACCTGCAAAATAAATGTCTAAATGTTTTTTGGTTTTTTTTCTCTTTAGAAGAAATTCATATTTTATCTGTTATTTTTCTATACTATAACTATACAGGGTTGGTTGATTTGACTGACCTCCTAACCAACATAAAAAAGGGGAAATAATTCTAAAAGTAAACCACAATTGTTTATCCTAAATAGTTTAAAGCTTGTAACAGTATACATCTATTTATGCTTAATGTTATTGTTTTTATTGCCTTTTGAACCATGTCTAACTAATGTTTCTGCCATAACAGTTGTAAATCACTTGGCGAACATGTAGCTCAAGTTACCCTATTGAAAACACAAGCTACTTGCAAGCATACTTCATGAAGAATTATTATTATTTATCTTAACTAATTTAACCTAACAAGTTTATAATTTTTACATTTTTTAAATTACTTGTATAATAATAATAAATAAAGAATATACATGAAAAATAAGAAATATAGTACATACCTGGATCTTCTTTTTTTCTTTGCTGTCTATTGTCGATGAAACTTAAGTCTACTTTTTTTATACTAGTGGTAGCACTACACTAACTAATTTTTTATTTAATTAAATACTGTACCTAAGAACATAGAATAATAACATCTAAAAAAGCAGACAATGTTCTATAATATTATAATTTTTCTGGCTTCCTAACTATGCGATACGAGCCCTTAAGCTAAGTTCATGGATGTGTTTCTTGTGAAAATAAAGCTGGAAATGGAAGTGAAATAGACAATTCTGTGTACAGAATAAATTGCATCATTTGATTATTAAGACTTTGACTTTCCATATAGTATTAAATGTCAGAGAGGATGTGACAGGTGAGTGTGGAAAGAGGGGTCTGATTTTCTAGTTTATGGCTCTGTAACCAAATAAGATTGAAGAATATGAAAATTATGCTTTGCCTGAGTAATAAATATGTTATAATGAGTAATTTACTTTAAATTCTGTACTTCTTGGAGGCATGGTAAATAAACTAGAGGGAAGACCTAAAGAGCAGATGTCATTGTAGGGGAGATTGTTTTATATATATATCCTTATAAAATTAAGAACTTAAAACTTAGCTAATAAGTTAAATTTTAATACTATATATGTTTTGATGCAAAGTTTATTCATATGCATTGATAAGAAAGTAGCTTAATTACATTTTTGAATGTAACTCTGTAAAAGGTTGTGACATGAACATTTTGACCTACCCAATGTGAAAGGGTTAATTATCCATTTTAGAAAACAAAAAATATATGCAGCAATAGAATATAATATACTATAATTTAACAGGCTTTTTAACTTGCTTATAAATAGGTTAAAATGTTATTTTAGCTACTCAAAGCTGAACATCATGATCACAAACAATGAAACTGGGACCGAATATGTACTTACAAGCGAAATAACATTATTGGGATTCTTGTAAGGAAAAACTGCTGTTTCTGTTAGTTATATATAAAATGTGATATCATTGTCAGAAGGAATTATTGACATTTTTTTGAAAGATAAAATTATATGGAAGGAGCATGTCACGTGGGTGTGAATTTAAATTTTTTTTTTAATATTTCAGTTAAGCATGAAGGTTTGAGGTTTTAAGTTTAACTTTAAATGTCTGTAGTATGTATTTCTCATTAGCTGGGCTTTAGATTTGGGATGCAGAGGTGCAATGTGACATATAGAAATAAAGATTTGGAATTTATTTAAATGTTTCCTCCCAAAATTAAGAAATTAAAACATAGATTATATAAAAATTTGAATTGTAAACTATGTTTTGGTGAGAAGCTTATTGATATACATTGATAATAAAAGTGTTTAATTAAATTTTGAATGAACTCTCTAAAGGGTATTGACATGTGCTCTTTGACCCAGCCATTGACATAGGGTTAAATACAGCCTCTCATTGTGTAGAGAGTTTCTGTATTGATATAGATTTATCCACTCAGGACTGTCCTGTTCCTAACTTATGTGTTTGTCCATGACACCATTTCATCCTCTGGGTTGGTTCTCTAAGGAAGGGTGATACCTTTTTCCTGCCCTGTAGCTTGTAGTTCATTGGTTCCCACCTCCTTTACAATGTGGGTTTTGTGGCCTTCGGCATTTTAGAGGTAAGTCTTCCCAATTTGGATTTTACATTTGTAGAAATAAAATAATTTGAAACAAGTACTTGGCTCTCAAATACTTTCCCTCACACCTCCCTACTTTTCATCACGACTACAACTCTCAAATAAATCTAAATTATGGTTGGAAAGCAAAGCTTTGAAAGATACTGTAAAGCATGTGCAATACGTCATGTGGGAGAGTGGAGGATTATGGGTAAGTGACACATGTTCTATTGCGTGTAAAAGACATTCAGAAATTTTGAGTTGCATGTTTTGTTGACAGCATGAGTTGAAACTCAAAAAGGAAAGGAAAGTGTTTCAAAAGTAAGTGCCTTTTTGAAATTCATTTCAATTCTAAAAATGTAACAATATATATATGTAGAGAGAGAGGGATAAAATTTTTCTTTCAGTGTTTTTTTATTTTATTTCAAATCAAATTTCCACCCAATTTAAATAGCAAATAAGTTATCATTAAATAATTAAAAAATCACACTTGTTTAAAACATCTATTTACAATTAAAAGGAATACAATGTTAAATAGTTATTAAAGACAGGAGCCCTGAAGATGGTGTCATAGATGCCAAAACATATGTAAAGTCCCTGTTTTTAGTAACTGTTTATTGTGTAAGATTTTAACATTGTATTCTTTTTAATTGTAAATAGAAGTTATCATTACTTACAATCTATATTTTTTGTTGAAAAAGAAACTGAATAGCTGATATTGCATTTTGACAGTTTTTAATCAGTGTTTTTCACTTTAAATTTCATGTTTTAGTTTTGTTTCCAGATTACTATAAAAATTTGTTTTTGTTACTTAAGGCATATCATTAAGAGCCATTTCTGTTATTTTTTCATCTAAACTTATAAGGATATAAAGAAGATGAAGTTTCATACATCATTCACTTACAGTACTAAAATATACTTTTGTTTATGATGAGAATTTTTCTGTAAACCTTCAGGTGAGATTGAAAACATTCCTAAAATCATGGATGATGGTAATCTAGAAAATCCATCTACATCAACTAATCTTGTAGAGCATGAAGTGCAAGAAAAGACTGTGGAAGACATTCCTCTACAACAGGTGTTGTGTATTATATCAAGTTACTCATTTTTATAATAATACACCATTTCTGAGTTATTATCATAAAAATGCTATTTTAGACATATCATGCTGGTATTATTAATATTAGGCCTACATTAAGTAACAGGGTTCAATTTAACAATCCTTCAAAATGACTAAAAACTTTTTTAGACAACCAACTTAAACCCCCTTGTTGTCTGACCGATGACTACCACCCTGGAATAGACCCTTACTCAAAACAGCATTGCAGTCTACTGTATACTTATCCATGCCTACACTACACACGTAATGTTGACTCCGATTTTTTTTTAAAAAATGGTAATTTGTACATGAGAAATGTTTCTACAATCCATCAAAAGGAGCTGAAAACGTTAGGAAAAGTTTGGTTTCGTGATTGGCTGATAATGCTGTTTTAGTCACAAACTTTCTGTAGTGTCAAGCTGTGCTTCTGTGCTGCTTTATACATGTAAATTTTCTATGGAGCTCACCTGAACAGGAATGGCATTGTATGGTAACAGAGTACAGTGTATACAGCTCAGTTAGTTTTATATCACCACACTGTATTGCAGAATGTTTGTATGCATTTTATATATATATATATAGGGGGGG